GTATGGGACAGGAGTGGAAAAGAATATTCAAAAAGCAGTTGAGCTGTATCAGAAAGCAGCTGAACAAGGAGATGCTGAGTCACAAAATAATCTTGGTATTTGCTATGAGTATGGGACAGGAGTGGAAAAGAATATTTAAAAAGCAGTTGAACTATATCAGAAGTCAGCTGAACAAGGACATGCCAGGGCACAAAATAATCTTGGTGTTTGCTATGAGTATGGGACAGGAGTGGAAAAGAATATTAATATTCAAAAAGCAGTTAAGCTGTAACAGAAAGCAGCTGAACAAGGATTTGCTGATGCACAATATAATCTTGGTGTTTGCTATTAGTTTGAGAAAGAATATTCAAAAAGCAGTTGAGCTGTATCAGAAAGCAGCTGAACAAGGAGATGCTGGGGGCACAATAACAATATAAATTTGATATTTGCCATGAGAAGGAAAAGAATACTCAAAAAACATTTGATTAGAAAGTGTCATAACGGCGATTTTTAGTGACGTATTCCTCCTATAGTGATAGATTTCTGCTCAGCTCCGATGGTAACGCAAGGATTTCGATCGGCATGTGCTAGATCCTAGTACGAAATGTTGTGATTGACGCAACGCCGATCCTTGCGTAATGATGCAATGCACTGTAGAAATTGCAATGATCTGGAAGTACAAAGGCGATTACTTAGTGTCAATTGAAGCAAACCAATAATCGTAGCTTAGAAGTATGTTGCTAAAAATAGGACAATTAGTAGCTCGAAAGATATAAAAGCAGCGTAGGAGTCAGGTAGTTTCGGTGTGTTTCAAGTGTCTTATAGTTCAAATATTATTATTATTTCCCGATTCCTTTATTATTTTATCAATAAACGAGTATTGCATTTACTCTGATTATAAACTATTTATGTATTTCCCTGAATTATTCGATATAGATAGAATCACTAATCCCTATATCGGAGAAGGATAATCCCTCGATTATCTGAGTAGCGAATTAAGATGATTAATTGTTGAGTATAACGCGTTAATAATTAGGTGTATTTTAAAACGGACAGACTGTCGAAATAATCCATCGGCAGATAGTCGTTACTAATTATCTCAAGAGCAATTAACTATCTAGGATTAGTGTCGCGATCCGGCAAATGGACGTGCCATCAGCATAAAATCCTAAACAAAAGGTCAGTCTGGTGTTCAACTCTTAGTAGGAGGCGCTACGCTCCGCTTGAAGAAAGTTAAATCCTTACGAGTCACGTGTCATCCGCTCTCCCGTGACATTCGGCTCGAATACGAAAGACGACCTACAGATTTAATAACGCAATCTTGGAACATAAAAAGGGAACTGTGAGAGACCTCCTAATAACAAACCGACGAAAATACCTCAGACATTACTTTGCACACGAAAACGTTGAAATCGACTCTCCAATTCGAAAACAAGTCCTAACAAAAATCCGAAGCAAAGTCTATGGAGTGTGCTACCCGATCAATTGCGAACCGACGATTTTATCGCATTTCTTGAAAGCATCAACAATCTTGATTATAGAGTATACGGTCGACGCGTTTGGAAAGTATATTGAAAATCCGACGCGAGAAAGTATTCTTGAATTACTACATTTTTGTGCATTCCTAAATACTCCGAAAAGTAATACATACTCTACAAGAAACGTTTGAGTTTACTATCCCAAACGAATAGATTGGACCATATCCTAACAACCAATAATTAACTAACGTCTCTGAAGAGGTTAAAAGGAGAATCAAAAACATACAAGAAAAAGGCCCCAGCAGTAAAACCCGTATTAGCACCTCCGATAAACTTAACATCTCCAGTAAACCCAGCGCCTGTTCCACTTCCAGTACCCAAGTTCACCCGCTTTACAACAGAACGACGAAGAAGATGAATGGCAACATGTAGCGTACCCAGTTTTTAATGGTACTAACCCCCGAAATTGGATATCAGATATGGAGATAGCATTTATAGCCAATACCATTGGAGCCGATGCAAATTTAAGAAAAATAGGCCTAGCAGTACTACATTCGGGTATTGCAAAACAATAGTATGCAGCCCTGAATCCGAAACCAGTCACCTGGGCCGCACATCGGATACAAAGAGCTGTTTTTAACTAAATACGCCAATGAAGCCAACCGAACGCAAGCATCACAGCAAGCATATCTCAGAATGCAGAAAGTAGAGGAATCAGTTGACGAATATTATAACTCTCTTCAAGAAAAATGGATCGAAATAGGAGCGGTGGACGCTATGCCAGAACGGACAAAAGTAAATAAATTTAATCCCAGCAATCCGCCAAAGGGTAATGGAAGCAGCCCCTGATACGCTAACCGCAGCAGTTCTAACAGCAACGAATTGCTATAACGCGTTGAGGGTACCGAGCAGCGTCCTTCTCGGTTTAAATGGTGCGTAGCAATACTCTAAAAGAATGGTAAAAGACATTACTCACTGAGAGGATGTAATATGGATTTAGTGCAATATAGCACGTGTTATAATGCACGAGATACGCCGATCAGATCATGTAGCACATATTAATAAAAGGAATAATATTGATAAGGGGGGATTTTTTGTCCCTTTATAATAGGCATATATAAAAATCGAATAAAAATATAATACGGCCAAGAATTAATTAATGAATAATTTATTTTTCGAATTGAAAAAAAATATTTTCCATAGTTATAATCCACAAACCATCCCGCCTTACGTCATAAGCACAATGTCAAAAATTGGAATCAATGCAACCTGATTCCTCAGATGAGCATATCTAAGCTTAGCAGTTACGCCGAAGAGTTGGTCAAAAAATTGAAAGACGCCAAAGCACGCGACCATTCACGAAAACGAATCCAGAAATTAGGATTTAGTAACGAGCAAACGTATACCCTTATCCCTGCGCAAGCTTCTGGTAGACGTGTTATAGGAAGAGACTCCGTTAAAAAGCTTGCTCAGTATATTAAGGAAACCGAGGAAGATCCTGACCCAGAGGAAATATACAAATTAGCATATAATTTAGTAGAAAGCGGCCCCACGGAAATATCTAAATCCTCACGTCACAAATTACTTCAAAAAGAATTGCGTAAACTGGGTGCTGATTATTTGACAATAGAAGCTACATACGTACCCGATATCGCTTATACATCGATTAAAAAACAAAGAGAGTCGCAAGAACTTTGTGAAGACAAAGGGTTTGATTGTCCCGACTTCTTTACCCTCGAAAAGCTGCAGGAGCGGTTACAGAAATGCAATATATCCAATCCCCCATCAGAAAAATTAATAGATAATAATTGTTGTTGTTATTTTATTGTGGGTACCCTTATTTGGAATCACGAGTGATTTGAAACTCGGATAGGGAGTTGAAAAGCGCGCATTTAATTTAATTATATAAATAGGTCACTTGTAGATTAGAATTCAGTCTTAATTGAACAACTACTGTATTAAGGGCGGTAGCATGAAGCTAATCTGGTAACATCCCCCAGTCGGAAGAACGCCCCTATGCAAAAGATTAATTGCTCTCCCAAACCCCACCACCCGACCATAACAGGTGCATGGGCGTGTGGCAAATCCATGCAAGTCTACAGAACAATACAAGAACTCATGCATTCTGGAAACCAGTGCTTCTAGTAGGTTTAAATCCTTGTCTCAATAATTCATCATCTTCCCAATATGCTTACTGCTTGCCTTTGTCTTTTAATAGCATAAATCTTCAGACTGCTGATTTTAAAATGATTGAAGGCCTCTGTATGAGCATAGATAAAAGTCTTCAGCATTATGCTCAGAAGCCTTGGAAGGCTGTTTGCCTATCCATACTGGAGATGATTTTGTGACTCTGTTCTCCAAATGGGATCATGTAGTCATTTTCCTTGACAAATTTGACATGATGCTGTATGAGGCAGCCCCAGTAGTTTGAAGTGCATGCTTAAACCATTTTCATGATATTAAACATCTTATTGAGGCTGGGAAATCCACCATCTGTTCAGTCATTGCAATAGAAATATTACTATCCTTGAAATAAACTCATATGACTCTGTCTACAAGTCACCATTTAATGTCCAGGACCCACTTCTGAACCCAAGTCTCACATACTGACAAGCACAAGTGCTTTTCAAAAAGTTTTCATCAGATTCCAAGCTTGCAATTAATGCAAGTGTTGTCAATGATATATTCTGGCAAACTAATGGGTATGTTTACATACTGGGTTTGATTTGTGTTAGAAAATTTATTCAAAATTTCACTTAAAACAGGCATGCAAGTGCAGTTGCCTATGTGGAAATTCAATTGATACAATTTGGCAGCAGTGGGTTAATGGAGCTATCATTATCACAGACTGGGAAACCTTTGTTGCCACAGAGTTACTGGACTCAATTATGAATTACAGTACCTTCCAGAGAATGAAGAATACACTGATTACACATGCAAAAAAGGCTCAGGAGACCTTTTATGGTCACAATTTGTCAGTGCTCCTGGGCCCAAAAGTTTTGCTGGATCCAGTGATAATGAAAAGAATCTTGTCAGTTTCTTGTGAGGGGTTGTAAATCTCTTGATCAGATGAGGACCTCATTCAAAATATTTTCACCAATCATGTACTCAGTCATTGTTTGATTCATAATTCCTGAAATTGTTCCAATTGCCAATGTGTCCCAAGGGACACCCTCCCTTTTTCATGGACAGGTTATTAGACATTCTTTCCGTGTTGAAAGAAAACATACAGTTTTTTGACCAGACCCTCCTTAAAAATGCCTCTGGTTATGCATTCAAAGCTGCATTAGTACTAGTCAGCAATGTGACAAAGAATCAACCTGTCCCAAGTAAACATGGATACAGCCATCATGCCAGCAATTGACTGGCCTTGGCAGAAGGTGGTAATCCTGGAGCTTATTGCAACAGCAACAAAAAAAAGAATTGAGAGAACATTTCAAATGTGCACTCTCATACCAAATAAATTTTAAGAGCAAGCCTGTTGATGACCTATTACTATGGATTGTTCATTTCACATGTGAGAATGATGGTACCATAAATCCTTTGTGGCCAACTGAGACACAACAGAGCTGGGCTAAACTCAATTCATTTTTGGCATGATCTCGAATTTACGAAGTTACACATGAGTGCATGGTGGTGTGACAAGAGTGGTAAGCAGCAGGAGATTATCAATGAGGTGGTGTTCTGATTGTATGTTGGTATTCACTATCTACCAAAGTTTGATTAAATGTTACATAAGTCTGTTGGGATTTTCTTTACATGAGCTTTCCCTTTGATGACAATAGAGAAGGTCAAGTAATGTAGAAGAGTTCCTTGAGTATATGGCACAGACTTATCTCTTGAGCCAATTCATAAGCAAAAAAGAAAAATTAAAACAATCAAAAAAACCTTTTTAAAGAAGTTAATGGTGGATCTTTAGGAAAAATAAAAATCAGAATACAGTCGTGCAGAATAATAAAATTATATATGGAATTACTGGTATATGAAAAAATCTAATTATAATGGTTTGACTGAATAATATTACAGTTGGGTGGTCTGGGGATTAATCTGCCGCGTAGGGGTGTTCTTCCGACCGGGGGTTATTACCAGATTAGCTTCGTGCTACTGCCCTTAATACGGTAATTGTTCAATTAGGACCGAATTCTAATCTACAAGTGACCTATTTATATAATTAAATTAAATGCGCGCTTCTCAACTCCCTATCCAAGCTTCAAATCACTCATAATTCCAAATAAGGATACCCACAATAAAATAATAACAACAATTATTTTTATCGCGGAATCGAAGGGGAATAAATTCTATTTAATATTAAACG